TATATATCATAGATCATAACATTTGGATGTGATAAAAGTAGTTGATTATTCTGGGATTTCTGGAGCAATAAGCAATGCAGTAAGGTTTGAACTGGCTGCACATTGAGCAGTGAAATCATGATTTATCTTTACAGACTTCAATGTAACATGAACATAACCTATAAGCAAAGGCCAAGTTGGATGAATGCAGTACTGTTAACTGGCCATGCTTCCAGGGTGCTTTCTTCCGGGTGAACATGCTCCGAATTGTCCTCCTGGGCATCCACAAATACACAACCACCTAGAAAGAAGCTGCTTTTTCCATGGCCGCCCAGACTTTATGTATACAGATTATATGGTCATAATAATTTTCTCACATGGTTGTATGTGGGAGAACCAGGTACTGTGAATTTCGGTGTCTGTTGCTTCTTGTCATTTATTTATTTGGTTCTCTAAACTTTAACTGTTTGGGTTTTCATAGGATGTTTATACACAGTTTTGTTTTGTTTTTTCCTGAAAGAGCCCTGGGATAAAAGCCAGCATGGAAATGTATTGATATCTCCATCTTCTCTGAAGCTCAGGTTGACAATCCACTCGCAAAGGATTATCCCAAAGCCCAGAGGGTTATTGGGGGATCTAGCATCCTTGTAGCAAACAGTATTTTCCATTTATGCAGCAGAAGAAATTGATCAGATTTTGGGAATGGGCATATTTTGCTATTGCATGGTCCTCAATCTGTCTCAGATTTCAACGCTGGCTCCTGAATGTAGGCATAGTGGTCAAATTGGCTAGCCTCCCAAATGATGAGTTTTATATTCCATCTCTATGGGTGGGTAATAGAAAGTCTATCTATTTTGTAGAGTTGGTAAGAAAAAATGAAAGGGAGGAATGTGTCTTTTAAACCGCGGTCTGCTTTTTTAACAGTCTGATCAGATCAGAACTTGGAAAAATTGCTTGTGGGGCTACAACTGTCAAGAGTTTCAGGTCATGGTTACGAGAAGTTTTTGGGAATTACCACCCACAAAGTAACTTCCAAGTTCTGACCCACTTCCTATATTCCTCTTTCTGTGTGCTTATGTTTACGTATCTGTACACACATATGT